GTTTTCATCATGAATCAGTGTTAAATTTTGTCAGAGGCTTTGTAAGAAGTATGACATGACCTCTTTTTTTTTTTATAAAAATTTTTTTTCAACGTTTTTTATTTATTTTTGGGACAGAGAGAGACAGAGCGTGAACAGGGGAGGGACAGAGAGAGAGGGAGACACAGAATCGGAAACAGGCTCCAGGCTCCGAGCCATCAGCCCAGAGCCTGACGCGGGGCTCGAACTCACGGACCGCGAGATCATGACCTGGCTGAAGTCGGACACTTAACCGACTGCGCCACCCAGGCGCCCCTGACATGACCTCTTAATATGACTTCAACTGTTTTTTAAATATTAACTACCATATTCCTAAAATAAACTTCATCATAACATATTATCCTTCTTATATATATGAGTAGATTCCATTTGTATCTTTTTAAGGATTTTTACATCTGTATTTATGAGATAATGGTGTATAAATATTTTATTTAAAACTGTAAATAAATTTGCGTTCTGGACCCAACCCTGCTATCAACCAGAAGAACTGTCCCTATAATAAGCTAGCCATTTAATTTCCCTGGACTTCAGAGTTTCTAAATTCAAATATAATTGTTAGAATTAATTCAGACAGGAGCTGAGCCAGTGTTTCTCAAACTTCAGCCTGTATCAATCACCTGAAAGGCTTATTAAACCACAGACTGTTGAACTGCTTTCCCAGAGTTTCAGACTAAACAGATTTAGGAAGTGGCCCCCAAATTTTCACTCCTGGTAAATTCCCAAGTTTAAAAAAAAAAACAAACAAACAAACAAAAAACTACCTAGGTGATGATGATGATGCCATTGTTTGGAGAATGACACTTTGAGAACCACTGGGCTAGTAAACCAAAATAATCAAATTTTTCAACATGATGGGTTTCTTTTCATGTTTATTTACTTTGAAAGAGAGAGAGCAAGAGCTGGGAAGGGGCAAAGAGACAGGGAGAAAGAATCCCAAGGAGGCTCCACACTGCCAGCACAGAGCCCAACACGGAGCTCGATCTCACAGAACCATGAGATCATGACCTGAGCCAAGACCTGAGCCAAAACCAAGAGTCAAACACTTAACCGAATGAGCCACTCAGGCACCCCTCAACATGATGTTTTAAATAACCAAGATATATCCACATAAAACCACAATAAAGGGTAATGGTGAGAACTGTGAGAACTGAGAGAAAATCATTCTAATAAAAACAAAGTGCACTACAGGGATATGTTGTCTCAGGACTAGTGTCACATTAGGAGAAAGTGGCATCCTTCATAAGGGAATTTTCAAAATAATTTGCTTTTTTTAGACAACACTTTTAAGCAATGATATTTGTTTTACATTAACTTTTTCTATTAAAACCCTTCTGGGGCGCCAGGGTGACTCAGTTGGGCATCTAACTCTTCATTTCAGCTCAGGTCATGATCCCAGCGTCGTGGGATCAAGCCGTGTTGAGCTCTGCACTGAGCATGGAGCCCTATTGAGATTCTTCCTTTCTCTTTCTTTCTCTTTCTCTCTCTCCCCTGCCCCCCCCCCCAACCCTGGCTCAATCTCTCTAAAGCAATTAATTAATTAAATCCTTCTAAAATGGACCATGAAATTCTTCTATCTTTTCAAACAAGTCCACTAAACATTTAGACATCTCAGGAGCTAGTGAGATGTGTTGGGCAGTTTGTCCGTGTGCCAAATGTTCTCAGTATTATGATTTTGAAGTTCTTGAATCTGCCTTCAATTTTTTTTCCTGTTTAGTACCCCTAAACCCAATTAGCAAATCCCACTGTGCCTATCTTAAACAGTTCTCCTACGGTGCCCCTTGAACTTTCTCCATATAATTTCTATGTAATTTTCACTAAGCAATTAAAAAGTTCCTCTTTAAATAAATGAATAAGTTGTAAGGAGTTTTCTGTTATTAACTTTTTTGCTTCCTAAGCTCTTGGTTTTATCAGATCTTCAAAAATGGGACAGCTGAAAACCTTCCAAGAATCAATCTACAGATCACCTCCCATATGTATTCTTTTCCCTTTTCATAAATAGGCCCTCTCCTGTTTACAGCAACAAAAAAAGGTAACACTCTCACTTCCACCTAGAATTTATGATACATTGCCTGGAGATGTAATAAACTCTGGGGACCCCCAAAAAAGGACAAGTCAAAAAATATTGTTTGGAAGAACAACTTATAAACAATGAAGTGTCATAAACTATCCACTATAGGGCTTCTTATCTTTTCTAGTCTTATATATTTTTCTAAGAGTTAAAAATAGGATATTTTAGCTCCTGCTAGGATATTCTGATGTGATATTGTCTGTGAGCAATTCAGAGCAATTTCCTTTAAACAACTTTATCTCTTCCAACCCCACATACCCCACACTTCCATGCTGCACTGTCCAAAAATGCACTGTTCTTTTGGGAGAGGCTAATAACAGCAAAGTAAATAAAGGGAATATTGGTAAGAAATATCTAACAAGAAAACTAAATTTTTTGAGTACTTAAATATAAGTAATTCTCTTCAGCAATTCTCAAACCTCATTCCATGAATATCTATTAGCTTAAAGAAAAAGCACATTTAACAAGCTTTAAATATCAATTAAGCAATATCAATTAAGAGGCTGACTTTATAACAAGTACTTTCCAGGAACACCAAATTATTCAAATTATGCTCCATAAAACCCACAAAAACTATATACAAACTATTTTAGATTAAGTGTGCATTATTCGACATAGTTAAAACCTATTTTGTAAATCATATCATGAAACTTTTATTCTAAGTAAATTCTCCTATCTTTTGAACACTTTAATATTCTACCTCTAGTAAAAAAAAAAAAAATCAGTCATAGCTCACTGTAAGAATGAATCATTTTTAGCAATAGGTATTCTTCTACTTTATCACTAATTACCCCAAAATAAAATTTATGGCATTATTTCTGAATCATTCCCTTTTATTTCTATCTAAAAGCTGAATGCCAGAGATCAGAAGATGTAAGTCCACACATTTAGAAAAGCAGTAACACACTTTTCATATCCCTTCATATTAATTTATAATGATACAAATAGGTAAACAGCCTATTTGTTTTTAAAATTATAAAAAGGATAAATTAATTCTATTGGACTCATCATATAATTTTAACCTCAACTACCTTAATAGTATCTTTCAGTATGCAATTCTATAACTTCTCAGTGGTTTTTATATTACTTAAAATATGCTTAACCTATTTATTTTAACTTAAAAGGAAAAGATATTTTATGATTAAAAACAAGTTTGATATAGCTGGTTGGTCTGACAATGGAGACGAGCTTTGTTAACTGGAAGATACTTTCTATAAATATAACAAGCTAAACTTTCAACCTACAGGTTTTGACTAAAATATATTTATATACATAATAAGATAAAAGCATCTTATGAAAAAACTCCATTGGCAAACATGCACTGAAATTAATAATGTTTTTGGGAGGGGTGTCTGGGTGGCTCAGTCAATTGAAGGTCCAACTCTCGGTTTCAGCTTGGGTCATGATCTTGTGGTTTCGGGAGTTCAAGCCCTGCATTGGGCTCCATACTTATGGTGCGGAGCCTGCTTGTGATTCTGTGTCTCCCTCTCCACCCCTTCTCAACTTATGCTGTCTCTCCAGCTCTCAAAATAAATAAATAAACTTAAAAAAATAATATTTTTATTTTCTCAATGACTTATGATTTTATCAGATTAAAGAAAATGCCTATAAGGGGAAGAAGGAGGAACTGATATAATTAGACATTTGCTAAGTCTTGGTAGTCTTTATGATATACTTCATAAAAAATTAGGACCAGGTAATAAATCCTTTGACAAATTAGGTGATTCTCATTCTTTTGCTTTCAACAAAACTGAAGGAGTAGAACCTAATAAAACATTAAACTAATGGATGCTTGATGATAAATCTTTAAGTAATTTCTGATATAACTTGGAAGGTTTTACTATCACAAAACTTCCAGCAGAATGAGCTTATTTAAATGAACACTTATTTTTTAATAAATAAACAACCTACAAAATCTAAAAAGAACAGAAATTGGTGCCAAATCTGATTTCATTCTATCAATACATATTACATATCGCCAGATACAAAAACTTCTGGAAGAAGAGAGGAGACGATTCCATTCACTTCATTAAAAAATGAACCCCGAGGGCTGCCTGGGTGGCTCAGTCAGTTGGGTGTCCGACTTTGGCTCAAGTCAATGATCTCACAGTTGATGTCTCTCTCAAAAATAAATAAAAACGTTAAAAATAAATAAATAATGCCAAGTGCGCCTGGGTGACTCAGCTGGTTAAGCGTTCAACTTCAGCTCAAGTCATGAGTTCGAGCCCCATGTCAGGCTCTGGGCTGACAGCTCAGAGCCTGGAGCCTGCTTCAGATTCTGTGTGTGTGTGTCTCTCTCTCTCTCTACCCCTACCCTACTCATGCCTCTCTCTCTCTCTCTCTCGAAAGTAAATGAACATTAAGAAAATTTTTTTGAGAAAATGAACCCCTGCTGAATAACTATTACACACAAAGCAAATTTTATCAAAATTTTAATATATGTAAGTTATTCTAATCAACCGTGTGCTAATAATTTTGACAGTAGTTAGAACCTCATTGTCACAAGTTTTTTGTTGTTGTTGTTTTGTTTTGTTTTTTTAATGTTTATTTTTGAGAGAGAGAGTGTGCGCACAAGCCGGGAAGGGGCAAAGAAAGAAGGAGACAGAGGGTCCGGAGTGGGCTCTGTGCTGACAGCAGAGAGCCTGATGTGGGGCCCAAGCTCATGAACCATGAGATCATGACCTGAGCTGAAGTTGGATGCTTAACTGACCGAGCCACCCAGGCACCTCAAGAAAAACATTTCCAATTCCAATTTATATATAGTATTGTAGCAAATAAGTTTGACAGATGATGATTAAAATATTTTCAAGAATAAAAATAGAGAACATTAGGATAAAATGCACTGGAAGTAACAGAACAGACATACAAGTTCAAAAGGAAAATGATTAAAATTTCCAAACATATGTTTGTGTTTACATTTTTAATAAATAATGGGACTTAGAACCCCTTAGAGGTATTTTGTTGAAATGTGACAATATGTCAGAAATTCCATCCTTTTGCTGAAAAACTGTTATTGTCAATTTCAATATGTGCAAAGGGACACACAATCTCTGGAAACTGTTTCAGGAAATAATTGAGCACAAATTTGAAGACAACAGTCCTAAAGAAAGTGAGAAGTAAGGGTCATACAGATTAAGTGAAGACTGTTATCAACAGAGTAACAAAAATATGACATTTGAATGTCAATCTCCCTCAATAAACTAACGGCCATGAGGGCATATTTTTCTAGGTAGTCCCACCATTAATGCTATAAATAGCATACAGGTTTTAATAACTTGTTTACCACATAGGGGAATAAGTGGATGGAATGAATGAATAGTGAATATGTATCAAAGTGTATTATTTGATAATGGGAAATTACAAACTAACTGATTTCTACTACAAGTCAAATATAAACTACAAATTTCAGTCAGAGTCAGACATTGACATTAAGTCTCTTAAATTACACAAGAAAAGGCCGAACAAAACAAAATTTTGATTTCTATTTTAAGCAATACATAGCTGAAATTTGAAATAACAAAACAGCATTTTGACTTTTTTGAAGAGATACAAATAGTAACTAAAAAGGAATGAGTTTGGCAGAAGGGGGAAAATTTGAAATCATTTAGCCATAAATGAAATTTCATTTTAATAAGTGAAGTTAGGACTCAAAGTCTTTGGTAAAGCCAAAATGTTATATCATCAGAAGTTCAAAACTTACCTCAAAAAAAAAAAAAACAAACAGTATATCCTCCATCAAATCTTAAATTCTAAGTCTTTTGTGAGACAATGTTTTTCTAAGACCTTCAGTAATTTTCTAGTTTCCTCCTCCAAAGATTGCAGAAATGCCATCATCACCATATGCCTGAACTACGTAGTTTTTACTTTTCACATCGGTGGAAATAAGAGTATGCAAATCATTCACATCTTTCCACTGGTTTTGCCAGCAAGTATTGAGTAATTGGAAGGTGACTGTATCTACTGCCTGAGCTAATTTATAAGTGAAATGGTGGGCTTAAATTGTATAGTTGAATTAACGTAAATTAAATATGGGGTGCCTGGGTGGCCCAGTTGGTTAAGAATCCGACTTCAGCTCAGGTCATGACCTCATAGTTTCATGAGTTGTAGCCCAGCGTCAGGCTCTGTGTTGACAGCTCAGAGCCTGGAGCCTGCTTCTGACTCTGTGTCTCCCTCTCTCTCTGCCCCTCCCCTGCTCATGCTGTCTCTCAAAAATAAACGTTTAAAAAAATTTTTTTAAATATACTTAAGTAACTTGTAGCAGTACTAATCTGATATAATGTAAAAAGCTTAAAATATTTTTTAATTGGATTTTATTTTATTTTTTTATTTTATTTTATTTTTAATTTACATCCAAATTAGTCATCATAGAGTGCAACAAGATTTCAGGAGTAGATTCCTTAGTGTCTATTACCCATTTAGCCCATCCCCCCTCCCACAACCCCTCCAGTAACCCTCCATTTGTTCTCCATGTTTATGAGTCTCTTACGTTTTGTCCCCCTCCCTGTTTTTATATTATTTTTGTTTCCCTTCCCTTCTGTTCATGTTTTGTCTCTTAAAGTCCTCATATGAGTGAAGTCATGATTTCTGTCTTTCTCTAATTTCACTTAGCATAATACCCTCCAGTTCCATCCACGTAGTTGCAAATGGCAAGATTTCATTCTTTTTGATTGAAAAGGCTTAAAATATTAAATATTTTTTAGTTTTACTGAGTTGCAGTAGGGATACAAAAGACTGCACATATTGAAACATGCAATTTGATAAATTTTGACATGTATATACAAATTTACTTCTGAAAATCCCAATCCTCTTCCCCTGCCAAAAAGTTAAATAGGATTTGTGTCATTTGAGAAAAGTACTTACCTTCATGTAATTCACAATCTTAGCAAGAACGCCAAACTTATACCCAGAGCTTCCTGACAGAGCTTTCAAGTTAAATGATCCATTGCTATGATCTGGAAATGAAGTTCAAAAAACAATTATAACATGTGCCTGTTAGATTTGATTATGACATTTAAGCAGCTAAGATTTTTAACTCTAGTAAAACATTTCTTGTTTCGAGTTTTTCCACCCAGTGTATTCTACCCTGTAAAATTTTGGCGAACAATTCAAATCTTTGACTGTATAATAAATTTATCAATTTTCGCACTAAGAATAGGAACAAGGTATAAATAATTCAAAAGCATTAAAATACATTTCTTCTGTAAGTACCTCTACCTCACTCTTTCCTTAATTCTGATTAGATTTTCTCCCAAGATTAGAGGCATGGTGTTTTTGTTTGTTTTTATTTTTGTTTCTTTTTTTGAAAGAGAGAGATAGAGTACCACCCAGGCACTCTAGAGGCATGGCTTTTTTTTTTTTTTTAAGTTTATTTAGTTTTAAATTTTTTTAATATTTATTTTTGAGAGAGAGCGCGCGCACGTGCGTGTGCACAAGCGGGGGAGGGGAAAAGACAGGGAGACACAGAATCCGAAGCAGGCTCCAGGCCCCGAGCTATCAGCATAGGGCCCAATGTGGGGCTCAAACTCACAAACTGTGAGATCATGACCTGAGCCGAAGTCAGACGTTTAGCCAACTAAGCCACCCAGGCAACCCTATTTAATTATTTTGACAGAGAGAGAAGGTTGCAAGTGGGAGAGGGTCAGAGAGAGAGGGAGAGAGAATCCCAAGCAGGCTCCGCACTGTCAGTGCAGAGCCCGAAATGGGGCTTGAACCCACCAACAGTGAGATGATGACCTGAGCCAAAGCTGGACGCTTCAGCACCCATAGAGGCATAGCTTTTTAAACCAGAGGATAATACAAATCTCAATCTGACACACAGAGCTTTTCTAATAAACTTAAAACCATGAGAAATGAGTAAATACTTCTGAGGTATAAAAAGTTCCATTTATCACCTATTACATCAATTTCTATCAATGTAAAGCAAATGGGAATAAAAGAAATGATACGATAACTAAACTTGAGAGATAAACTAAGGAAAAATAAATTATAGGCACTGCCACTGCAAAAACATGGATGCTTAAAAAGGGATGGTAGCATGAGGGGCGCCTGGGTGGCTCAGTTGGTGAAGCACCAGATTTCAGCTATCTGCCCCTTCCCTCCTCATGCTCTCTCTCTCTCAAAAATAAACATTAAAAAAAGGGGGGGGGGGGAATGACAGCAGGAAACAAGGAGCAAATCCTATAGAAGATAATTTGTTTCAGAACTTGTTATCATTTTGTTACATTTTATAGGCAAAAAACCTAATCCTACCATGAATCACAAAATGCATTCCATTAGTCATAAGGAGGAATAGTTCAAAAAGTAAACTCATCATAAATACTAGAAAAACATTTCAGGGACACCAGTTGGTTGAGCGTCCAACTCTTGCTCAGATCATGATGCCAGGGTTGTGGGTTCAAGCCCCACAACAGGCTGCACACTGAGCATGGAGCCTACTTGAGACTCACTCCCTCTCCCCCCCACCCCGGGCTGGCACGCGAGAGAGAGAGAGAGAGAGAGAGAGAGAGAGAGAGAGAGAGAGAGAAAGAAAGAAAGAAAGAAAGAAAGAAAGAAAGAAAGAAAGAAAGA